GACCCCGCGAATACCCGAAATTTTGTGGAATATCCCCAACCGATCTGCGAGTCGTAGTAATCGGTGTAATGAGCCATCAGTCTAGCCGTTTAAAGTGTAGTGTTACGGAGAGCGTCCCTGATTCGAATGGTATAGGTTCGCCTAGTTGGTCTCTTATATCGATGTCGATCGTTTGAAAAGTCGTGCGGAGCAGTGGTATATACTTTAACGATGAAAACGAGAGCATTTTCATGGCGGCGTACGTGTATTTGTTATCCCTTTGCAGGCGAACCACACGAAGCAATGGTGTTTAGACGTCTCCGGTGATATACGGCTCGCAGACATCGGTGTAAACAAAAAGCATCTTAGGTAGGGCGTTGATCAGGCTAATCGGTTGATCGGCCATCACAACGGGCTTTGCTTTCGATACCACGACCGATTCGGGAAAACCTAGGATGCGTGCCAGAGATCGGCAGAGTCTAAGTTCGTGCGGGTCGTTCGATATTGCCGACGGCGTAAGAGCGGCGCTGAAACGTGCGACGTACGGGCTTATGCAGCGTATACGCGTCTTGGGCCTCTAACCAGTGTACGACGGAATTTCGCTTTACTCTAAGTTCGTGCGGGTCGTTTAGATCGTTATCGGTAGAGACGAACGATACGCTCGCGTAACCGCCTCTACAGAGCTCTAATTTCAGACGGACCTTCATAGCCCTGGTAGCGTTTATTTCGTCAACGAGTGTCTTTACGTCATCATAAACACCGTGCGCCACGTTACAACCCGTCATCATAAGACCCACTATCGGTTATTTGTGTTTCTTCCGCGGTTTGGTGCGGGTGGTGACCACGCCCACGTGATCCCAGTCTTGTAGCGCTGCGGGCACGTGAAGAAAGGTCATAGAGATCTGTATTTCGACCAGAGCAACAGCCTTAGCCGACACGGATCGTGTATATCTTTTCCCCACGACCTCTTCTTCCCCGAAGTCTCTAAACACTTCCTGAAACGCCTCGCCAAATTCCTTCTCTGTAGACGAGCTCTGAGTCGTGTCGATAAGGCGCGGTACGATTGTTACACGGCGCGGTCCCTGATTACTGAGAGGCGTCGCCGCCTTGCCGAATTCCTCCTCCTCTGTAGACGAGCTCTTAGTCGACTCGATAGGGCGCGGCACGATTGTTACACGGCGTTGTGTCTGATTACCGGGAGACCCCGTGTTGCTCCCCTCCCGCCATAGACGTTGATTACCAATAAATTCGCGCGGTATACCAGCAGTACGGAGGAACCGCGCAAACTGCCGACTCCCCGCCGGTCTCACCGTTTTTCTCTCACGCATAGCGTCATTAATTAAATCAATGATGTTGGCGTCCTGCACGATGGCTCCACCGATACGCGTAACACCCTGTTTACTCCACGAAATGTGTAGCGAGCCAGCGTCACGCAACCTGCCTAGTAAGAGCCGCGCCTTAGTCCTGTACTTTTGGGGTACACTGGCGATGATGTCATCGTCAGCATCGGCGGTCGGGCTCCTGGCGTTATCCTCCGCAGAATTGTTATTTTTTTTCTTGTTATCGCTATCGGCGCGCCTATCCTCGTCGGCGTTATTTCGCAGGTCCTCGATAAAGTGTAGATAACGCTGCAGCACTTGATTGTACATCTTCCACTTTTCGCGCTCGTCAATGAAATTCGGCGAGTGTAGGATCTCCTTCATCGATGCGTCTAATCTGCTTAAGGGGGTCCCAGGGGTTTGCACGGTGTTAACGGTGTCAATGCCCTCCTGACTGTGATGGTGCGCATGAGGCACTGCACGGTGGTACTGTTGGTGCACGGTATACACGCTCTCATGAGGGATGAGAACCATCTTTTTTGCATGTTCCATCTCGCTCTCTCTTTCTTTCTCTGCGTGGCGTATATACTATCCGCCTCCCCCTATAGGGATGAGAACCATCTTTTTCGCGTGCTCCATCTCGCGCTCTCTCTCTCTTTCTTTCTCTGCGCGGCGTATACCCTAACCTAACCTCCCCCTATGACTTTTGATATGACGGTGCCCAGTATGGGTGCCAGCAGAAGAGGTAGAAAACCACCGCTCTGAACGATAAGGCGTTTTCTAGTTTTGACTGCTGAACCCGGTCTGGATAAACGCCTCAGCAGCGGTGCGTGTTTTCGTAAGCGACGTTTCTGAATCGGCTTGAGAGGTACGTTGCCGCGAAGAATATTGAGAGCGCATTCGCATATACAGTTGACGAGCCGTGAGTTGGCCATTCGTAACAAAGCGCTGCGTTGTTTGCTATCCAGGTGGCAAATAGCCTTTAACACTGTGGCGTGCTTTCGCCCTATAGAGCAGCGTGCGCTGGATACCATTACAACCGAATGACTGGTACGTCTCGATCGGTGTACCCACCCTTTATACCCTTTCGCGGTACGTAAACGTATGGAACGGGTCCAAAGGAAACACGCACGTGCACCCCTTCCACCGCGGGGCCAGGCCGCTGTTAGCGCGGGACACGCGTGAGGTTCGTAACGTCGCGCGGGCTTGCTACCTCTTATCGGTGACGTTGCTAGTCCCTCGTCCGGGTGAGCTCATCGTGCACCTGTGAGCTAATAATCGGCATGTATGTGTGTCCGCCGCATAGCTAGCCATAGTGCACGACTAGCATATCCGAAGCGTCGCTGAAAAAATAAATAACATGGCCGGGCTGGTGGAGCCTTCGGGAATACATCGATAAAGAGATGTTTTTTTCTTCAAATAACTATGTTTTATTATTATTATTATTATTGTACAGGGGGGCATATATACATTTATACAAGTTCTGTTTGTACTATTAATTACATAAACCCGTATGGCAGAGATCCAAAACGACCATCGCCTCGCCGTTTTTGAAGCTCTGTCGGTTTGCACGTATTTGATTCTACACGTATCACTACGTCTTGAAACGGAGTACGCCGTATCGCGTCGTAGCGTAAAACGACAGGCTCGCCGGTCTCTCCCGTTACATAAGACCGTATCCAGTTGTAATTAATGACTAGACTCGTCGCGTGGTTGATTGTGATACCTTTGACCTTACAGACCTCAGCGTAAGAACCGTCTGGCTTGCGCATTCGGTACGCGTAAAATTTCGGGCCTCCCGAAACAAAAGACGTGATATAGCTACCAGCACCGTACGACTCCAGCTTGTCCATTAAATCGCTCAAAAGAGTACCGAGCGGCGGCTCGTAGGTGTTATCGGCATGACGGCCACCCGATACGTATATACACGAGTCGGTGTCGTAATATAGAACGCGTCTATCTAATGCCTCCAGGTAGTCGTACAATTGCAGACGCGCCTGAGCCGTGGTATACGTGGCTATAACAACGTTTGTGTATGCTGTGGGTATCAACGAGTCGTTCGTATTACTCGTACTGACGTAGAGCATCTCGTCATCTACGGGCAGAATACCTGTAATCTCGACTTCCGGACACGTAAGCAGACTCACGAGCTTTTGACGACTCGTTACAATTTCCGTTTTTGGCAGATTTTCGCGTTGCCCAAACTTGCCCCAAAAGGAATTCAAACATAA